GGATCCTGACTAATCTGGACAGTAATAAATCCTGACTAATCTGACAGTAATGAATCTTGATATGTCTGACTGTAATGAATCCTGACTTGTCTGACAGTAATAAATCCTGACTAGTCTGACAGTAATAAATTCTGACTAGTCTGACAGTAGTAAATCCTGACTAATCTGACAGTAATAAATCCTGACTAATCTGACAGTAATAAATCCTGACTAGTCTGACAGTAATCAATCCTGACTAGTCTGACAGTAATAAATCCTGACTAGTCTGACAGTAATAAATCCTGACTAGTCTGACAGTAATAAATCCCGACTTGTCTGACAGTAATGGATCCTGACTAATCTGACAGTAATAAATCCTGACTAATCTGACAGTAATGAATCTTGACATGTCTGACTGTAATGAATCCTGACTTGTCTGACAGTAATAAATCCTGACTTGTCTGACAGTAATAAATCCTGACTTGTCTGACGGTAATGGATCCTGACTAATCTGACATTAATAAATCCTGACTAATATGACAGTAATAAATCCTGACTAGTCTGACAGTAATGGATCCTGACTCGTCTGACGGTAATAAATCCTGACTCGTCTGACGGTAATAAATCCTGACTAGTCTGACAGTAATAAATCATGACTAGTCTGACTGGCTACTGGTACACCATTCAATACCCATAATGACTATGTTTTCATGTTGTCAACTTCCATTAGACTGCACAGATGAAAATGGAATTAGTTACCATGACAGTTCCGTATGGCAACTGGATAGCTGCACATCGTGTACATGTCAGGTAATTGTATGAATAAACTGATATGTGTGTTACGTCACTTTTCCCGTCATATATCAAAGCCATGGCACACAAAATTTGTAAAGGTTGGGAAACATTATTAACATCAATAAACTTTTTAGTTAAATGACATTTATATAGAAATGTTGGTTATTGTTACATTAAATCTCTAATGCTGGTGTTCTCTTTTAGCATAGTGTTATTACATGCATTCCACTACCATGTCCTGATACATCATGTTCACATCCGTCCACGCCACATGGTCACTGCTGCCCTCTATGTCAAGGTAAATAAACACAAAAAAGCGTTATTGCTGTTGTTCAACTGAACTATTCGTAATACTGATTGTTGTCACCAGTTGGCATCAACTTTTGACTTCTTCACAGAAACCATTAGCTGTATGTGTTTCATACTCACTACAAATGTACCTTGAGAGGTTCTCTCTCAGATTTATTCATTTTGTGACAATAATATGTTTCTTTTATTTTTAAAAATGGTGTTTTTGAAAAATGCTTCGATATTTTTGTCATTTTGTGGACTTATGTTTTGGCCCAAATTCACTTAATGACAACTTAACTTAAACCAATTAATGATTACTTGATTTCCAATATGGTCATTAATTACAGGTTGTTTGTATCTTGGGATTGAAGTTGAAAATGGTGAAATATTCTCACCAAATGGAGATCCATGTTCTTCTTGTAGCTGTCAGGTAAGTTATTAATCCTAGTTATACTCACTTACCATCTAACTCATTTGTCAATTTCTAATTACCAAGAAGCCACAGCAGATGGGAGACCAATGAGATTTTCTGTTTCAATTGTTGCATTTTGAATGTTGTAGTTCTATTCTCTCTGGTGGCATTGTTGTGTAATACAGTTATCAACTCACAACACAGTTGTAATCCTTGTTATGCATACTCACTTCCCAAATAACTCAGATTTGATATGCAAATCAACCGGTAAACCTGATATATCTTATGGAAATTAATACTTAATAATTTGTCCTAAAGTTAATTTCAATGAAACTTGAAACATAGATGGTCTGGGCCAATGAGCGTAACAAGTTATCTAGTACAAGTTATATGACTGAAATATCAAGTCATCATATATGGTCATGATTTCATTAAATATTATGAGGTTGTGAGGATACTGTAATGTATGCACAATAACAATATAGCAGGAATAGGATGTGACTTCCTTGAGTGCATGCATTGGGGTGTTCTCTTAGTAACCTTATTATTATACATCTTTCTAAACAAAATAGTCATATCCCTAAACAAACACTAATCATGCTATATTAGAATGACTTGTTTCTTGATTTGATATTGATTCAAAATGGCTAAGTGCCCTTGCCTATTTCTCAGATGGTGTTTTAAATTGGAGTCAACAATTAGACAGTAATGTTCCTGTTTTGCCAATGGAAATAAAGGTTTTGTAAATATTTCTAATATAACATGGTTTTATTCAAAAACGAATATTACATGTCAATTTGTTTTTGTTTTGATGAAGTTCAACTGACTTGTTTTCTTCAGAGTGGTACCGTATTTTGTTCAGTTATTGAATGTTCACAAGTTGATTGTCAACACCCTGTGGTTTCTGATGGCAAATGTTGTCCTGCATGTGCAGGTAATAAATTGACTTTTATATTTCAATAATTGATTGTTTGCTTTTATAATTGTTTAAAACTGTTGTTAAAGTTGATGACGTTAATATATTGAAATGTTGCTGGATACAGAATGATTTCCATATTGAAACATCTTAAAAGATTCACTTGTTGGTTTAGATACCTCACTTCTAAGATCAATATCATTCTTACATTGATTCAGGACATGTGATTGTTATAGATAGTAAAACACACTTTTGTATGAAATAATTGATGTTTGTTGTACACATTAATCTGAGTGGATGGTTGTATTGTAGGTTGTGAATATGAAGGGCGTATACTTAGCAATGGTGAAAGCTTTCACAAAGATCAATGTATAAACTGTGTATGTGTGCATGGTACTGTTACATGTCAAGGTCCAGAAGACTGTCCTGTCTTGAAATGCTTTGATCAGTATCTCCCAACTGGGGAATGTTGTGCTCGTTGTAGAAATGGTAAGTTTTCTTCTGGATCTCTTGATAGATTTCATTAAAACATCTACAGGCTTGTTTAGTTAGTTCAGGATTGAATTTTATCTTACTGATTTATTCCTATTATGTATATAGAGTTGTTTATTACTTTGGCTACAATCAGATTGTCATTCAGTTGCTAATCATAAGTTTGTATTATAATTCAACAGGATGTGAGTATGAAGGTGTGGAGTTTGCTAATGGCGATTTCTTTACTCCAATGTCCAATCCTTGTTTGACATGTTCTTGTACAGTAAGTATTACATGTTGCCTTTATTAGTCCCCGTTCGGACGCAGTCCGAAAACGGGGACTTATGTTTTGACCTTTGTGTGTCCGTGCGTCCGGACATGTATCTTAGAAATGCCTGGACTAATCACAATCAAACTTCACAAATACATCATACATGATATTATACATATGCACGTCAATTTGTTTCACGATCTGATTCAAGATGGCCGAATGGCGGCCATTTTTGTGCTAAAAATCATCAAAATCAAGCATTTCTTGGCTGTTTACAGATGGATTTTGTTCATACTTGGTATATACATTAGACATTATAGGACCTTGATGCACATCATTTTGTTTCACGATCTGATTCAAGATGGCCGAATGGCGGCCATTTTTGTGCTAAAAAATCCTAAAAATCAACCATTTCTCGGCTGTTTACAGATGGATTTTGTTCAAACTTGGTATATACATTAGACATTATGGGACCTTGATGCAAATAATTTTGTTTTTCAGATAAGATTCAAAATAGCCGACTGGCGGCCATTTTGTATTAATGAATGTGGTTCTCGTGCCATATCTCTGACTTGCTTTCACTGATTATGTTCAAATTTTAAATATTCATTATACATCATGTCATAGATAGACAGATATATTGGTTTGACGATCCTATTCAAAATGGCCAAATGGTGGCCTTTTTTGTGCTAAACAATCATCAAATATCAAGCATTTCTGGCATTTATGGATGGATTTCGTTCAAACTTGGTACATATATTAGACATTACCGGTTCCTGATGCACATCATTTATTTTTCAGATCGGATTCAAAATGGCTGACTGGCGTCCATTTTGTTTTAATCAATGGGCTTCTAGACCCATATCTCCGACTTGTTTTGACTGATAATATTTTCAAATTTTAAATATTCATTATACATCATGCAATAGATAAACAGATATATTGGTTTGACGATCCTATTCAAAATGGCCGAATGGTGGTCATTTTTGTGCTAAAAAATCATCAAATATCAAGCATTTATGGGTAGATTTCGTTCAAACTTGGTACATACATTAGACATTACGGGTTCCTGATGCTCGTCATTTTATTTTTCAGATTGGATTCAAAATGGCTGACTGGCGGCCATTTTGTTATAATGATTGTGCTTCTAGAGCCATATCTCTTAAATGCTTTGACTTATTATATTTAAATTTTATATATTCGTTATACATCATGTTATATATTTACATGTATTCAAAATGGCTGAATTTTAATACTGTTCCAGAGCAATATCTCTTAATATGGACAAGTACTTGTTTGACGATCAGATACAAATGTCAATCATTTTAATGTTAAAAAATCATATTCCTGACATGGTTATATTCCAGCTATATTACTATAAACAAAACTATATATCTTAAATTTGATAACTGTGCCATGCATGGCTTGTTCCTCATATCCCAGAGAGATCCACTTTGCATGTACCATTACATGACACATCTTCTAAATTGCACACTGTATTGTGACATAAACATATTTAAGAGAAGGTTTCTAAATAAAACAAAATTTAAACTGCCTATTCCGATTGGTGTGGGAACTTCACAATGCCACAAGTTGAACAGGTTAGTTAGGCACACACAGGAGCTCTCACCTACATTTGTATGTGGTGCCGCAAGGAGGTTTCATAGGGGTGAACTAAAGTTTTGTTTCAAGTATAACAGAAAAAAATCATTAAATAAACTATGAGTAATGATAATAGAACAATAAGTAAATATAACCTAACACATGGACTATAAGTTATTGTTCCTGTCAGCATCCTTTATTTTATGTTTTTGTCATAATACCTCAAACCCTGCAAATGGAAGTGTGCATGGAAACATGGGAAGAAATGTGCATTGTGATAACTGTCATAAAGGTGATTGGCAGGTCATACTTGTTTTCAACTCTGGAAGGACAGTGGAATCTACCAGGTGTGCTTGTGATTTACATAACAAAAGGTGTTTACATCTTTGGAAGGAGAATTGGAATCTACCAGGTGTGCTGTTATTTGAATAACAAAGGATGTTTATGATCTACTGAGTTGCCTATGTGACACAGCTGCTAGCAAGATTACATTCTGATTGGCTCATGTGGAAACCCAGGTGGTGACACTGAATCATGCCTATAAATTGGACAGACTCAGGACAGTTGTGGTCCATCATTTCAACTTGGTGTCCGTCATTTCAACTTGCTTTCCTGTGTGTTCTGCTACGATATGGTGTGACAAGTGATACAGGCTACAACCATCATTCTGTGAGACTTGTATGAACTGCTCTGCGATCTCCTGCTTTCAGCGGTGCCCTCCAGAATACCAGCGTTCCTCTGCAAGCAAGACTCCTGTATTTTTTCGTTGTTGTGTTGCAGAACTGTCGTCCATTATTACATCCTGGAACTGTGAGTTATCATCAATGCACACTTCCCTAATCAATCCCTTATTTTAGTGACTTTATCCATTGTATTTTTCTGTGCTTTATGTCTTGTAATTATTTTGAGAGGTATTAAAGCCAGGAGCTTTAACTTGATATTTTGGTGTATGTGTATTTCATTTCCAGTAGTATTGTCTTGTCTACCCCATTCTAGCAGTGAAAGAACCCCTTGTCCAGTGTTCTTTGGGTGCCCTCGCATTAGCGATAAGCAGGCCTTACACTGTAACAGTTCCATTACTGTATTCATGATAGAGTAGAGACCAGTAGACTTGTTTTCTTTTTATAGATGAGTATTGTTCGTTGTAATCCAATGAGATGTCCAGATATAACTTGCAGTCATCCAATAAAACTACTTGGTGCCTGCTGTGAAAATTGTGCTGATGGTGAGTGAGCTGATTTTTTTATTGTTTTTTTTTGAAAATTCATTGTCATTCATTTTAAAATTCATTTTACAGAACCAACAATCAGACAGTGAAATATTGTGTTTGTCAGTCAGTAAACATGCAACTCAAAACTAATATCACAACTCAATAAAATTATATCTGATTTGCATGGGAATGAATATATCATGCCCCCCTGAACACTGCCATACCTCCCCTGAACACTCTGCCCTGCCTCCCCTGAACATTCTGCCCTGCCTCCCCTGAACATTCTGCCCTGCCTCCCCTGAACATTCTGCCCTGCCTCCCCTGAACATTCTGCCCTGCCTCCCCTGAACATTCTGCCCTGCCTCCCCTGAACACTGCCATGCATCAGACAGTGAAATATTGTGTTTGTCAGTCAGTAAACATGCAACTCACAACTCAATAAAATTATATCTGATTTGCATGGGAATGAATATATCATGCCCCCCTGAACACTGCCATA